AAATCTTGTACATGATTCTCAAAATTCGGCGCATAGCTATCACTAGTTCTAATAATAATAGATAGGCTTAAATATTTATTTAGAGGTAGCTTTTATGTAATAAAACGAGTAATAAACTAATAATTTGATAATAATAACGAGTAATAATACATAATATAATAGTTGGTGCAGTTTATGTGACATTTAATTAGTCTAATAATCAGCTCTGTCCAGTCCCATACTGATCGGTCCTAATCGGTTCTGGACCGCAGTCCGGTCTAACTTTTTAAAAGACTGCCAGTCTTTGGACCAAGACGGACCGGACGGACCAATTAACAGCCCTAGGCAGCACCCATAAAAAAAAAAAAAGGTTACAAATTAACTGATAATGGTAAAAAAATAAAATTCCTTTGAATTATACCAATCATAAAATATATCAGTTTAACTTCGGCATTAGTTACAGAAAACATCAGTGATTTGATTTAAATTTTCAAGAACTAATGCAATATCTGGACGCTTTGAGGGATCTTCATCCCAACATTGTCGATAAAGTTGTTCATATTGAGGTGGAGTGCCTTCAACAGTTACTTCTCTCCCTCCATTATATACATGAATAGTGATCGAAAACCCAATTTCAATTGATTTGAATGGTGGTCGGCCACTAGAGATCTCCCAAAGAATAACGCCAAAACTATATATATCTGATTTCTTATCGCGTTTATGAGTGGGATCTTTTAAGCATTGAGGATCAATATACGCTGGCATCCCATGAGCAATTGAAGTTGAAAATGATTCATTCATCTGCTCAGATATACCAAAGCCTGCAATTATCATTTTTTTTGCGCCAACCAGAATATTTTTGGAATGCTACAATTATGAGAAACTTTATTATTTGTGAAATTTTCAAATAAATTCATGATATATTTATGAACATAATTCTTACGAGGTTACGATGGGTAATACCATTTTCGTGTAAATAACATAGTCCTTCGGATATTTCTTTAGCCATACATAATTTTCTTGTCCAATCTAATTCGGAAAATTCCCTTTTTAGATAACCACGTAAATCTCTGTCTGCAGATTGTAAAACCATACTGTAATAACCACTTGAAGGATCTATTTATTTATTAAATAAATGGCTGTATTTGCACAAAAGAATGCTTTACTGTTATTTAAAATAGAAAGAAATACCTTTAGTTATTCCATAAAATTTAACGATATTCGGATGGTTAAAATTTTGTAAAAGTTTGAGCTTTGAATTAATATTTTAATACCTAATTAATGTTTATAAACAAGCATAAATATAAAATACACATAAGAGAATTAAATTGTACCATTTCAATAAATCCTTTAACGATATTTTCGTCCAAATGTTCTTCATTGACCTTAAGACATTTAAGAGCAATAGTTAATCTTCGTTCTTCCCATTCACATTTATATATTGAACTAAATTGTTCCTCAGCAATCTTTGTAATTCCACTAAATTTATTATAATTATGGAAGTCAATAATTCGATCTGAAATAGCTTTTTGAAGCGACCCTCTTAAAGGTTTTTCCTTATCCTCATGAAACTCCGCTGGCTTAAACGTAAGTTTATTTAATAAATCAAAAACTTCTTTTATTTCTGGACGTTTAGTCGGGTCAACATCCCAACATTGCTTATAAAGTCGTTCGTATTGAGGTGGAGTACCTTCAACCGGTTTTTCCCTAACATCCTTAAATACTTCAACAGCAATTTGTATTCTAGTCAATTTCGAAAAAGGTTTCTGACCACTTGAAATTTCCCAAAGAATAACCCCAAGGCTATAAATATCTGATTTGGTAGTACGCTTGTATTCAAGATTTTTAAAGCACTGAGGATCAATATATGCTGGCATTCCTTCTATATTTGAACTTGAACTTGACATATCAACTGATAACACTTTAGACAAACCAAAATCTGCGATCTTCATCTTGTCATCCTCAACCAAGATATTTTTTGGGTGCTACAAACACAAGATAAAAATAAAAGTTAATTAAACCTGTTGCTATAAAATTAAGTTTTAAAACACACTTACAAGATTTCTATGAATAATTTTGTTGTCATGTAAAAATACGAGACCCTGCGCTATTTCTCCTGCAATGCGAAACTTATCTTCCCACTGCAATGACGAAAACTTTCTAGCTAAATAATCTCGCAAATTCCCATTATTAGCAAATTGTAGAACCATCTTATAAGTTCCGTCAGTACCTTTATGTAAAAATAAATATTGTAAATACACGAGAACAAGATTGTTTTTAAAGTACACTTAAATTGTATGAAATTCAAAATGGCAACCTTTAGTTACACCATAAAAGTGATTTATTTTAGGGTGAAAGCTTACTCTTTGCATAAGTTGAAGCTTATATAGTACGTGTAATTCGTTCAACAAATTAGCACTAATATAATAAAGATATTACAATAAAGATTAATTAAATATTCATCATACCTCTTTCACAAATTGTTTTGCTTCCTTTTCTTCGGCATCAAATTTTAAACTCTTAAGAGCTACAGTTAACCCACAACTTTTCCATTCAGACTTTACAATAGGGCTAAATTTACTACTATCGCCAATTTTTTCGCTATCGCTAAATTCACTACAATCAAAACAGTTAATAAGCTGTTTTAAAATAGCGTCTTCAATCCATTGGGTAGAATTCGAGGAGTCTGCCATTTTAACACACCCGAAAACATTAAAAGTGCGATTCTTTTATAAATATCGAATCCCAAGTACTGTAATTGAAACATTCTCAATCAATCGCTATACGAATTACTAAAAATGGGAATATGTATAGCATTTTTCATGAAAATTATTGTATTTTTTAGCGTCTTGTAAAACCCGTACACAGAACCTGATATGATATATATTATGATTTTAAAATATCGATATTTTTATATTTATATTAATGCGCACATAATTTTAGTTAAAGATACCACGCCGAATGATGTGTAAAACCTTTTATGTGATCATTTGAAACTGGAATTACTTAAATATTTACATAGTACAAATCTCAGAAAGGAAGCATGACTATCACACAATAATTAACGTTAACATTCGTCCACGGATTCTCATGAAAGATTGGCGTTACAAATAAAGCTATTACCCGGGTCGGTTGAACCGGGCTTTACTTATTTATGCCGGTAATACAAACTCCTAAAAAGGAAATAGTCAATAAAAAAATTGAAAATCCTATTAGTAAATTCGAAACTTCTATCGATGATTTCTCAATAATTACTTGATCAAATTTAGTAAAATTTTTTTATTTTTAATTCAGTAATTCTTTAGTATCAAAAGAAAAGGAGTTCATGGAATTAGATTTAGTAGTTATCGAGAAATCATCGCTAAAAGTTTTAAAAACACATGAAATATCAAGGGAAAAAAAAAAAATCAAAATCTGGTAAATTTTCCCTTCTTTGAAATTTAAACGAAGATTTCTCGACAACCAACTATCCAAATTTGATGAAAATTTTTATTTTAAATCTGTAGATTCATAGAATTAAAATAAAAAAATTTAGATCAAATTTGAATAGCTAGTGGTCGAGAAATATTTATTAAAAGTCAAAAATTTTTGACCGCAGCTTCTTTTTAAAGACATCTAAACATTGAGCGAAGATTACTCAGTACTTACCTGATCAAATTCGACAAAATTTTTTTATTTATTCTATAATTAAAATAAAAAAAAATTGATTGAATTTGACCAGGCAAGTAAAAAAAAAAAAATTTGATCGAATTTGAATAGCTGGTTGTCGAGAAATATTCAGTAAAATTTTAAAAAAAATTGACCGCAGTTTTTTATTTTAATTCTACAAAATAAGTAATAATAATCCTCCCATAATCTTGATATAGTGATCGTGATTATAGAATTAAAATAAAAAAATTTTCATCAAATTCGGATAGTTAGTTGTCGAGAAGTCTTCGTTTAATGTGTAAGTAAAAAATTTGTTGTAACATTCCTTTTTCCTAAATTTTTTTAAACGAAGTTCTCTCGATAACTAACTATCCGAATTTATGAAAATTTTTTTATTTTAATTCTACAATCTCATAAAATTAAATGAAATTTCTTTTATTTTAATTCTACAATCTTGTAAAATGATCAAATTTGGATAGCTGAATGTTGAGAAATTTTCATTAAAATTTTAAAAAATTTTGACTACAATGTTTTTTATAATCGTCTAAACTTTGAACGAAAATTACTTGACACTTACCTGGTAAAAATCAATAAATTTTTTTTATTTTGATTCCATATGATTATAGAATTAAAATAAAAAAAAATTATTGAATTTGACCAGGTAAGTGCCGAGTAATCTTCGTTCAAAGTTTAGATATCTTTAAAAAAGAAGCTGTGGTCAAAATTTTTTAAACTTTTAATGAATATTTCTCGACAATCAGCTATTCAAATTCGATCTAAATTTTTTATTTTAATTTCTATGAATCCCAAAAATTAAAATAAAAAAATTTTCATCAAATTCGAACAGTTGGTTGTTAAGAATCATCGTTTAAAGTTCAAAGAAAGGAAAATTTACCCAATTTTTTTTTCATGTTTTTAAAACTTATAGCGATTATTTCTCGACAACTACTAAATCAAATTTAATGAATTTTTTTTCTTTTAATTCCACAGAATTACTGAATTAAAAAAAAAGTTTACTGAATTTTATCAAATAATTATTGAGAATATGTTTATTAGCTATTTCCTTTTAGGAGTTTGTATTACCAGCACAAATAAGTAAAGCCTGGGTCACCAACTCGGGTTAGAATTCAAAATATACTAAAATATTGCACAATTTACTAATATAACTGTATTGGTAGAAGACATATAATTTACTAAATAGTAAAGTTCTTAACTGCTGGTTGCCATAACTTCTGGAACATTTGGTAAAAATCAGCTGAATTATTTTTGACCGATTCGACTAAGTTAGTAATATCAATTTTGAAAAAAAAATTACAAATTTCATAAGAAAACGTTCTTTGCTGAGCCAAAATCAGCATAAGCCACAACAATTATTAAACCAACATACAATTGGTTTAGATATTTGATTAAGTAATTAATTAAATAATTGATCAGCTATAGCTAGCTATTTAGCCGCGGCTAGCCGATAATACTGTAGCCAGCCAATAGCCAGCTGTAGCCAGCCGTTCCCATCCATAATAGGAGGTAAGTTCTTTACATACATCTTTTTTTTTTACAGTAAATAATGATACAAATCAATGCCTATTAAATCTTAATTCTAACCAATCTATTTACTTTTTTGTTACTTCTACAGCGAGTAAGTTCTTTACATACGACTTTTTCTTTTTTTTACAGTAAATAATAGTACAAATTAATGTCTATTAAACATTAATTTTAACTAATCCACTTTTTGTCATCTATATAGTAGGTAAGTTCTTTATATATGACATCTTTTTTTTACAGTAAATGATACAAATCAATGCCATATCAATGTTAATTCTAACTAATTCACTTACTTTTCTGTTATCTATATCGTTTGCAAGTTCTTTACATAACATTTTTTTTTACAGTAAATAATAATACAAATAAGTGACCTATTGAACCTTAATTCTAACCAATCAATTTACTTTTTTGTCACTTCTACAGCGAGTAAGTTCTTAAGTTTCAATTCATTAACCGCATATCCATATATCCATAATCCATTAACCGCATATCCATATATCCATAATCCATTATCCAAGTATCTAATCTGAATTTATCTGGATATCTGTTTACTATTGATATCTGAATAATTTATCTGAATATTTGTTGGATTATAACTTGATGCATAACAATAGTCATGCTAAGATTATTATCACAAGGATCTTTACATGCTAAGCTAAGCCTATGAATGCATTTATGAAATTATTGTTGTTATTTAAAGTTAGGAAGAAAATAAGAAGGGAATAGATATAGTATATAATGATAAGAAGAAAGATTGTAAATCAATAATGCTTTTTTTCTTCACTGCCTGACTTGGGTCTGGCTCTTTCATAGTGTTCCTGCCCACTCCTCTCAAGAAAAGAAGAATAAGAGAAGGTGTTTGGGGACTTTGCTGTCTTGTGAATAGTCTTGTTTAGCTATTTGCTCCATAATACTGATCTGGTATCAGGTGATAAAAACGAATCAAGAAAAAAAAAGAATGTTGTGAAAAAATTAAAAAAATAGAAATGTTGTGGAAAAATAGAAATGTGGAAATGAGGGATGTTCTATAGAATAGGTGGGCAAACTCTGCCAACTCCGCAACTCCGACATTAAAAATTAATGATTACTAATCATTAGCGAAGCTTATTTCTTATATTGCCTACTCATTCTATAGAACATCCGAAATGAGAATGCTATGAAAAAATGAGAATGTTTGTGAGAAAATAATAATATTGTAAGAAAATAGAAATGTTGAGTTGCTCGGTGACGGGCTTGCTGACTTGCAGGTGGTCTTGCTCAGCAACTTGCTTCGCAATGCTTATATGATGATTAGTATTGTGATGTGTTAATTTATTTAGAAGAATCTATGAAAAAAATTAATATCACAGTATGTTTTGCACATGCCGATTCTCTTCATTTTCATCACGTGACTAGCAGTCTTGTAAAGTATAAATTTAAATAATGGGGCATATAAAGTCAGAGTCACAGTGTTGCACAACTCCTATTGTTTAATTCCATTAATCAATAAATTTGTTTGTGTTAAATTGATCTGAGCAAGAATAATCTGGAGATCATTAATAAACAGGTATCTGGATAAATTCAGATATAGATAAATGGATGACGAATTTATCCAGATTGGAACTCTAATAAGTTCATTACATACGACTTTTTTTTTTACAGTAAATAATGGTATAAATCAAACATTAATTCTAACTAATCTACTTTTTTTTACAGTAAATAATGATACAAATCAATATCCTGTCAAATGTTAATTCTAACTAATCTACTTACTTTTTTGTCTCTCTAAGTACACCCTTATAAGTTTACACCCAGTGGTAAAGATCTAAAATTTTTTTGGTTCTTTGAGAACATAAATTGATAATTTTATGTTCTTATAAACATTTTAATATTCTTAATGATAAAAAAAAAATTATATATATTTTCTATATATCATATCAGAATATAAATTATAAATTTTATGTTCTTAGTTGGTTCTCAAAAGAGATCATGATTTTTAAATACAATGTTCTCAAATTTTATTAAATTTTCTTGAGAACACTGAGATCATTAGATCTTTAACACTGTTCACACCTCCTCTAAATAGATGCTCAGATTTTGACCTAAATATATTCTTGACTTCTATAAATGTACTGTTTCTTGTTATTCTCTAAATGCACATTATTAAAGTGTGGTCCCAAGGGTGCGCACTTAGAGAGGTCTGACTGTAGTTGTAAGTTATTTATATACAACATTTTTTTTACAGTAAATAATGGTACAAATCAAACGCTAATTCTACCAATCCACTTACTTTACATTTACCTTTTTTTTTGGGTCCGCTTATTTCACTGACACTCATTTCGTAGATATAGCATTTCATCAACAATCATTTCACCAGCATGTTCATTTCACGACCTCAATTCATCGACACTCAATTCACCGATACTTAATTCACTGACAGCTCAATTCACCAACAATCATTTCACCGACACTCTATTTACTGACAATTAATTCAACACTCAATTCATCAACAAAGTAATTATAC